TCACTTCTGCTGCCACCAGCTGCAGCAGCAGCAGCAGCAGCAGCAGCAGCAAGAGCAGCAGCAACGAAAGCAAAATCTCCCCATTACAATATTTTTCTTAGACAAGCGAAGGAAAACTTCAAAGGCTTTCAAACACTCGAAGCCGCCCGCAGAAAGCTCGCAGGCAAGCGCTGGGGGTCCTCCCTTTACAGCAGCAGTATATCACCTGATTAACTTCATCTCTTCAGAACGCATCCACAGGCTAAGAAACACCAAACCCTAAACCCTAAACCCTAAACCCTAAACCCTAAACACTACGGAACAACTCCGGCTGACAACCAGCAGTCTTTTCCCGTCTCAGCCAAAGGGGCAGCAGCAACGGCCCTCTGCAAGCTGCATCTGCAACGAGCGCTGAGCTGCTGTTGATGCTGCAGCAGCTGTTGCAGCAGCAGCAGTAGCAGCAGCTGCTGCTGCTGCTGTAACAGCAGCAGGCTCATCTCCTGGTGCCAGGAGAGCTACGGGCCCCGCCCAGATTAAAAACTGCATCGCCCCGCAGCAGCTTTTCATTGTTTGCTGCTGCAGCTGTTGCTGCAGTTGTTGCAACAGCAGCTACAGCCGCTGCAGCAGCAACGAGCGTTGCTGCTGCTTCAGTGCAGCAGCGAGTTGTGCTGCTGCAGAGGCATTTCTCTTATCTTTCCTCTCCGCGACATTCGCGCTATATATTTTTCTCTGCTGCTGCGAACGAGATTTTGAAATAGCTCTTTTAATGAGGTCTGACGATTGCCCCGTGAGGGCGCAGCAGCAGCAGCAGCAGCAGCAGCAGCAGCAGCAGCAACTGGTTTGCTGTTGTGTTCTCCTACGTCTCCTATCTTCTCCTCTGTCTCCATATCTGTCTCTGCCTTCTTGCTGCTGTGCAGCAGCTGCTGCGAGTCGCCTTTGGGCTCCATAAGCCACTCACTGCGGCTAGAGAAAGTACTCAGGGCTGGCAGCTGCTGCTGCAGCTGCTCTGCTGCTGCTGCTGCTGCAGCAGCAGCAGAGGGATCCACGCAGAGAGTATACAGCCGCTTCAAATCCCCCAGCAACGGATGCTGCACCCAGAATGAAACGGGAGGGTAGGCAGACTCATGGGCGGCCTTAGCTGCTGCTGCTGCTGCTGCTGTTGTTGTTGCTGTTGCTGCTGTTGCTGCTGCTGCTGTTGGTTTCCCCTGCAACGCTGCAGCAAAAGCAGCAGCA